ATGAGTAAATTTCTTGTTGAGCATTGTTACCCCCACCTTTGGTTTTCTTTTACTATCCCTTCCCTCTTCTACCTCCCCTGTTCCTCCCCCACATGGGTTTATATCTGCACTCACTATTTCTTTTTCTTTTTTTGGGGGGGGGTCTAGTCGTGGGGCCTAAACTCTGGGCCTGGGCGCTGTCCCTCAGCTTTTCAGCTCAAGGCTAGTGTTCTACCACTTGAGCCACAACACCACTTCCGGCTTTTTTCTTTTTGCTTATGTGGTGCTGAGGAATCGAACCCAGGGCCTCAGGCATGCAAGGCAAGCGCTCTACCACTGAGCCACCTTCCCAGCCCTGCACTAACTATTTCATTGGCCCTGTAGTACATTTTGAAATCTGGTATTATGGTTCCAGCATTGCAATTCCCCCCATTCCCTATCAAGATTGATTTGGCTATTAAAGGTCTTTTGTGAATTTGGGGGGGGGGGAGGGTTCTCCCTAGATCTGTGAAAACTGTTAAGATTGTATTAAATATGTAGATCATTTTGGGTATATGCCACTTAATTAAAATGATTTCTCCCTATTCATGACCATGGGAGATCTTTTTATCTTTGAGTGTCATCTTTAATATCTTTCTTCATTATTTTGTAAATTTCATCCTGGAGGTCTTTCACCTCCTTGGTTACAGATGTTTTCTCCAGGTTTTGTTTTGGCTTTGTTTTTTGAGGGTGTGAATGGGACTGTTTTCCTGATTTCTTTCTTAGTTCATTATTGGTATACAGGAAAGCTACTGGTTTTGTTGATTTTATGTTGACTTTGTATCCTGCTTCCGCTGAATTTGTTCATCAGTTCTAAGAGACTTTTAATGGTGAGTCTTTAGGGTTTTCCAAGTATAGAATCTTATCTGTACTAGAGATAATTTCACTTTCTCCTTTTATGTTTGTGTCTTTTTTCATTCTCATGCAAGATTGTTTGGGCTAAAATTTCAAGTAATATTTTGAATAAGAATAGTGACTGTGGATGCCTTATCATTTTTCTGCTTTTAGTTTTCTCAGTCATGATGGTATTAACTATGAATTTGCAATAAGTAGCTTTTATATCTTCGGGTATTATACCTAGTTTATTGAGGATTTTCATAGCAAAGAATGGTGGATTTTACTAAAGGCTTTTTCCAATAGAAAAAAGAAAAGTCAAAGTTCAAGTTCATTTGTCTTTCTTTTGTCCTTGATTTTTTTTATTTGATTTCATTTATATATTGTGTTATTTTTTTTATTCTCAAATGTTGAACTATCCTTGTATCCCTAGAATGAAACTAGCTTTATCATGATGTGTGATATCTTTAGTAGGTTGTTGAATCCAATTTGTAAGTATTTTAATCTATTTTAATCAAGGATATAGGTCTGATTTTTGTGTTTGTTCTACCCTCACCAGGCTTTGGTGTCAGGGTAATAATAGCTTCATAAAATGAGTTAGGAAGTATTCCTATCTTTGTTTTGTGGAATAGTTTATTTAAAAACTTGATAGAGTTCAACTATGAGTCTTTCTAGTCCTCATTTTTTCTTTGTTGAGAGACAGAATCTCATTGCTTGTTATTATAGATATTTTATATCATCTTGTTTCTCTTTTGGTAGGTCACGTGTCTAGAAATATGTCTACTTCTAGATTTTCCAATTTATTGGCATATAATTCTTCAAAATATCCCTATGATTTTAATGCTGTCTGTGGTACTGTCTGCTTTTTTCACCTCAGGTTTTATTTATTTAGCCTTGCCTTTTCTTGTAATTTGTTTTGGTAAATCTTTAGTGTTTTCTAGGTAAATAATCATTTCTGCAATAAGTATAATTTTACTTCCTTCTTTCATATATGTATCCCTTTTTGTCAGTTTTATCTTTTCAAAGAACCATGGCTTTGTTCCACTGAATCTTTGTATTGTTTTCTGGGTTTATCACTTATTTTAATGCAGATTTTTATTATGGCTTCTATTGATCTTGGGTTTGGCTTGTTCTTGTTTTTCTAAAACCTTGAAATACACATCATTGGGTTATTTGAGAAGTCTTTTTTTTTTTTTTCACTGTCCCTCAGCTCTTCAGATCAAGGCTAGTGCTCTACCATTTGAGCCACAGAGCCACTTCGGGTTTTCTGGTGGTTTATTGGAGATAAGGGTCTCTTTGACTTTTCCTGCCCACACTGGCTTTGAACTGTGATCCTCAGATCTCAGCCTCCTAAGTAGCTAGGATTACATGCGTGAGCCACCTGCACTTGGCTTCTTTTTTTTTCTTAAGGTTGGCACTCTGCCACAAGCTACTCCTCCACTTCCTTTTTTTTTCTGGTTAATTGAAGATAACAATCTCCTGGACTTTTTTGTCTGGACTGGCGTTGAACTACGATCCTCAGATCTCAGCCTCCTGGATAACTAGGATTATAGCCATGAGCCACAAACATCTGGCTATCTGTTGATTCTAGTTTCATTCCACTATAATCTGATAAGATGGAAAAATATCATTTTAGGATTTTTGTACTTGTTTTATGTCTCACATATGAAAAAAGTCACTTGTTATTTGTGTACAATTGATCTATAACAAAACTCTAGTTTCTCTTTGTTGATTTTTATGGGTGGGAATTCCATATGATCTGTTGTTGAAAAAGGGTGTTAAAGGCATCCGGTATTATTACTTTGGCCTGTCTTTCATTTTGTATACCGTAGTATTTATTTTGTAAAATGTGATACTCTTGCAGTCTGGCATATATATTTACACTTATAGCTACTTGGTAGATTGTTTCACTTATCAAAATTTTGTAACTTTGTCTTTTCTGGCTGATTTTGTCTATTAATCAGATATTGGAGCTGCTACTGATATAAGAAACTGCCTTATCTATCAAAGTATGTTGCTTAAAAGTTTCTACTTTGGGATAAGGTAAGATTTTTGAAATGTAACGTTTTGTCTTAACTGATTTTTCCAAGGTAGAATTAAGACATTCCTCAGAAGACACATCTTAGATTGTTCAAGAAATAACCCAGGGTATGGTTATGTTTTGAGGTTACTTTTACTACTCTTAATCTTATTTCAAAGTCTTAATATACACCTTATATAAATATATCTTACCCTATTCAAACTAGCCAGTCATGAGCAGATTGTAAACCTGAGTTCAGTCAGTCTGAAGGGCCTTCTGCCTTAAGAATAAATACCAAAGCAGCCTTCCTGCACTGTGTGCTTACTTACCAGATCTTTATGATGGTTCACCCTTCTGCAGAAGTAAGTTTTGCCTTACTGAGATAATTCTTTATTTTCTTGTCTATTGTTGTGACTACAGTGGTTCTTGGAGAGCATATTTATAACACTTGCTTTCAGATTCTACTTGCTTGTACTATCATTATTCATCTTATCATTTGGTTTGTGGTTGCTTTTACTGATGAGGTGAATTTCTTGCAGGAAGCATATTGTTGGGTCTTGATATTTATCTTAGAGGTTGATGACTTGCTAAATTAATCATATTTGACTCTTCTAATTCTCATGTTCTTATCTGCTCTTCTAGCAAGATTTATTCCTTGTGATTTTGTGTCTACCTTGCTTCTCTTGCTATATGTAGGATTCTTTTAAGTATCTTCCATAATACTGGTCTATGTTTATCTTTGAAGGCCTTTATTACTCCTTCAATCTGAAAGATAACTTTGATATAATAATTTAGGTTGGCAGTTACTTTCGCTGGTACTTGAAATAGCATAATCCTATGCCCTCACTAACTTTAGATTTTCTACTGAGAAATCTTCTGTTTTCATGATTGATTTACCTTTGGTCTTCAAATCATGTCACATAGGTTTTAAATGTCCTGTTCACAATTTTTTTTCTTTATTACTATTTGAGTGTGATAATTCATCTATCATCTTTAATACCATATATGCTTGTTTCTGTTTTATCTAGTCTATTGGTGAAGATAGCAACTTTTTGTTCATTTTGTTTGATTTATTAATTTTCATTTCTAAGGTTTGGTCTTTTTTGGAAATTTCTCTTTATTGAAGTGCTTTTTCATATCCTGCATTGTCTTCATTAATTTATTCAACTTTTCAACTTGACAAGAGTGTGGAAGCAATATGAATTCAGTATAAACCATATTTGCTTGGAATTTATATTTTTTTTTTTTTTTTTTTTTTGTCGGTCATGGGGCCTGAACTCTGGGCCTGGGCGCTGTCCCTCAGTTCTTCAGCTGTCGACTAGCACTCTACCACTTGAGCCTCAGCCCCACCTCTGGCTTTTTCTGCTTATGTGGTGCTGAGGAATCGAACCCAGGGTCTCATGCATGCAAGGCAAGCACTCTACCACTGAGCCACCTTCCCAGCCCTTGCTTGGAATTTAGAATGTTGATCTTATCCTGCTTTAGTGATATGCAATAGGATACTCTTAAGAACATTAAGCTGCAGCTCCCAATGGCATGTGATCATGAAGGTAAATAAGTACATAGAGTTTTTACATATTTGCACAACCATATACTGTGTTATTGAGCTAAGGAATTCATTAGGTTAAATATTTCAAATGCATTTTCATTTTATGATCATTTTAACTTAGGTGTTTATCAAGGTTATAGGTTATCCTAAGTCAGACATCTATAGAGAGAAATAAATGTTGAAAAGCAAAGTGAAGAACATAGTTGTAATAGTTACTAGAAAACTTTTTGTGACAAATATTAATAATGAATACAAATCCTGAAGGCTAACACTGAGTTCCCAGTGATTTGAAAGAAAATTTCACAGAATAAGCATGTACCTGAGAGAGAATTTTATTGTTGTGCTTTTGTAAATGTATATTTAAGATTTTCTGTAATTTCCAATTTCATTGATGTAATATGAATGGCTTTGATAATGTTATATACACTATAACAGATAAAACCTTTTTTTTTTCCAGTAAAGTTATCTAAATGAAAAATGTTTTAAATATAGTACAGTGAACTATAAATCTGCCTTGTTTTAAAATTGCTTTGAAAGAATGCTGAAAGATTATATTATGGGTAATCTATTTTTTTATAGGTGTTAATTAATTACTTGCAAGCAAGTAAACAATGGAGCCAGACATCATTCGAATGTACTCTTCATCCCCCCCACCACTTGACAATGGAGCAGAGGATGATGATGATGATGAATTTGGGGAATTTGGTGGATTTTCCGAAGTTAGCCCTTCTGGTATAGGGTTTGTTGACTTTGATGCACCAGATTATACTCGTCCCAAGGAAGAGTTTATACCTTCAAACCATTTTATGCCAATTCATGATTTCTCAGAAAATGTAGATAGCCTTACAAGCTTTAAGTCCATTAAGAATGGTAATGATAAGGATATCACTGCTGAACCTCCTAATCCTATGAAAGGACAGTCTGATGTTTTACTTTCTACCACCAGCAATGAAATAATTTCTTTTAAAACTTCAGATGCTTCCATTGATGGTATGGAAAGTCCAAGAGATTTAAATAAAGTAGAACAGAGACAAAATGTTGGGACATCTGCAAGTTTCTCTCCAGGAGATTTTAGAACTGATACGAACATTGTTCATCAAAACAAACAGTTAGAGAGCTGCAATGGTGAAAAACCTCCTTGTCTGGAGATTCTAACAAATGGATTTGCAGGGTTGGAAACTGTAAATCCTCAGGGAACAGATGATCTGGACAATGTAGTTAATTCAAAGGGAAGGAAGCCTCTTAGTACTGAGTACAGTGTAGACTCTGCACCTAATTCTGCTGACGAATTTGCAGATTTTGCCACATTTTCCAAAAAGGAAAGGATACAATTAGAAGAAATGGGATGTGCAATTTTAAATGATCGAGATGCAGTAACAGTTCAGGAAAACAACAAAATTAACAGAGTCAATGAACTTAATTCTGTAAAAGAAATGCCTTTGGTTAGAAGGTTTGATGATAAAGGAGACACTGAGGAAGAGCAACAAATTTGTGGTTCAGAAACCTGCAAAGTGACTGGTAGAGGTTTCAGTGTTGGGAAAAAAGACCTTCTAACACTGCAAAGGGATGATTTTTTTAATTCAAGTATTCAATTAGAGACTTGGAACTTGGGAGATTCAGCTGATAATTCAGATGCCATTAGGAGAGAACAATGTAAAACTGAGGAAAACCTCGATTTGTTTACTTCTAAAAGTACTGACCTATGCATGGATTCTAGTAAGACTTCTGATGCTGATGAAGTTAGTTCTTCCAAAGAAGAAAATAGCAAGTTTACTAATTCCCAAAGCCCTCACATTGATCTCACTGAAGAAAATGTTTTGGATGAATCTGTAAGTATAAAAAATGGTGATAGTAGTAACGACTTTGTGACTTGCAATGATACCAATGAAGATGAATTTGGTGACTTTGGCACAGCCAGTGGCACTACTCCACCTTTTGTTGCTGGTACTCAAGATTCCATGAGCGATGTCACTTTTGAAGAGTCTTCAGAGCACCTTCCACATTTTAGTGAACCAGGCGATGAGTTTGGAGAATTTGAGGATACAAATGCTGTTTCTTGCCAAGAGGAAATGGTATTTACTGAGTCCAACCCAAAACAGACTTCTGATGGTTTATCAGAGGAATGTCAATTGGCAAGAAAATCTAGTGGAACAGGCACTGAACCTGTTTCAAAACTGAAAAATGAGCAAGATGGCGAGTTTGGAGATTTTGATGGTGTGCCAAATATTCAGGATGACAGCAGTGCTTTTCAAGACTCGGATGATTTTGCAGACTTCAGTTCAGCTGGTCCTAGCCAAGTTGTAGGCTGGAATGCTTTTGAGGATGAACAGAAAGATGGTTGTTCTTGGGCTGCTTTTGGAGATCAGCAAGCTACCGAATCTCATCATCGTAAAGAAGTCTGGCAGTCACATAGGACAGATGAAAACACTGATTTTGTGGGAACCCCTAAGATGCACAGTGTCCCTATAGCAGTTTCTAAAGGAACAGTTGCTAGTGGCCATTTACAGGAGTCAGCCACTTCAGTTCAGGTATTTACTAATTTTCTCTTTTTTTTTAATGACATCTTAATTGTCATAGAGACTACTAATTCAGCTTAAGAAAATTTCCACTGTGCACCTATGTGTGTGTGTTTGTGTGCGCATGTCAGTACTGTAAATTGAACTTAGGAACCAAGTGCTGTCCCTGAATTTTTCATTCAGTGCAAGTGGGCTACTACTTGAGCCACAGTTCCATTTGTGGCCTTTTGGTGATCAATTTGAAATGAAAATCTCACAGTCTTTTCTGTCTGGGCTAGCTTTGAACTGCAGTCCCCAGAACTTAGATTATTGAGTAGGTAGGACTAAAGGTGTGAGCTACCAGCACCTGACATACTTGGTAATACTTTTTTTTTTTTTTTTGGGTCCAGTCATGGGCCTGAACTCTGGGCCCAAGCGCTGTCCCTCAGCTCTTCAGCTCAAGGCTAGCACTCTACCACTTGAGCCATAGCACCACTTCCGACTTTTTTTTTTTCTGGTTATGTGGTGCTAAGGAATCGAACTCGGCCTCATGCATGATGCAAGGCAAGCGCTCTACCACTGAGCCACCTTCCCAGCCCCACTTGGTAATACTTTTATCCTTGCCAATAATAGAAATTCACTGATTTGTAGTGTTAGTGAATTTAAATAGCATTTATTTTTTTTGTTAGCTAATTATTCTACTAAATTCTTCTGTTTTTACCTTTACATTGATTTTAAAAGTTAAGCTGAGGTTTAGAAGATTTATTTTAAGCATCAGGGAAAAGGAATGTTAATTTTGTCTCTCAAAGATCAAGGAAATTGAAGTTTGATTGCAGGAGAGAAACAAGCAGAATCTTAAACCTCATACTGGGCTGAAGGTTATAGTGATCTGAATAGCAGGGAAATAGCAAATTTGGACCTTGTAACTTAATAGCTTCAACAGTGTTTTCAATGAGAGTGTGAGATGAATTAAGACTTAGTCCTAGAATAAGAAATGGTACTGGCTGACTTACTTTTGTTGATTTGCTTATAATTTCTTGCAAGTATAAACATACTTTTTCTCCTCTTGGGGAGTAGATGTATGAGGGAGAATATTTTTACTTCTTAGCATCTGTATTTTATTCTTTGATTCTTCTGTCAGAGAAATCAGATCCACAAACTTTATTTCTCCAGTTACTTTTTGCTAAGAAACCTGCTTTCAGTTGAAAGCATTTAAAAATTTTGTGCTTTTTGTTTACTCTGACACCCTATTTGAAGTGGTTATGCATCATTGCTTTGGTACCTTTGACACATTAAGCAATCTCAGAGAAATGACCAAATTGCTACTTGGTGTACACAGCTAACTTTGGGTATCCGAGCAGGTTTATTTGCTAATTTAGTTATTATATGGTTTAGCTAATGTGTATTATTCCTATTGAGTAATTTATTATTGAGGTGGTACCTTGTAGTAAGAAGTAAGCTAATTATAATGCAAAATGAAGACTGTTGGCTTTGACCTAGACATTTTACTATTTAGTTTCATTTCACCAAAAGTGACACTAGTGTTGAACGATCTTTAATTTGTAGTTTAGAAATTTTAACATCATCAAAAAATTAATGTTTAAAAGTATAACTACTTCAGATGTATGATACTTTACTTCATACAAATTTATTGAAGTTACTTATGTATAATTTGATACTGAATACAGTATAAGGGCTTCATGGGATCTGATAGATCTGAGTTTGCATCTTTACTTGGTACCTTAAAAGTTTAATGAATGACAAAAGTCTGCAGAAAGATAAAAATTTTGGAGTATGATTCTATTTGTAAAAAATAATAGAAACTGAATAGAAGAGGCAAAATACATAATACTTTTTGAGATTTGCTTGGCTCAAGCCTCAAAGCTTCTATTGCTGCAGGATGGATTTTTTAATGACAGAATTTGGAGGAAGATGGTAGGCTTAGAGAAGAAACTGCTAAAGGGAGCTACAAGGAGTTTGGGAAGAACATTGAAGTAAGAAAGTACTGGGTTAGGTTAATAAGTAAAAAGTAAATGAAGATTAAATGGTGGTTTTCATTTTTATCCTGCTGCTGGAAGGAGACTACTCCCTGGACTTGCTTTCCTAATCTTCAGATAATGCTGGAAAAATACATCATGCTTACTCATCCTTTAGAGAAGGTGTAGACTCATTAAAATCAAGCTGATTAAATTTTTTAAAAATGTTTGTCCTAGTTAGTGCAGTATTTAGGAAAGCAATGAAATGACTTATTCTTGTTGCAGTTTACCTGGCTACATTTAGTGTCCTGAAGCAAGTGCCATCAAGTATTTTGTCCAAGTTGTACTTTGACAAAATGTTGTGAGGATTTCTTCAAAGCTTTTTGGAATTCAGAGCTCAGTTACTTCAGTTAAACAACATGGAGAAAAGTTCTTCGTTTTGTAAAGTCAGGCAGATGATATAGTTGGCATCTCAGATTATTTCCACTTTTCACTCCATTTGGTATATAACTTAAGTTATAAAGCAGAAAAGCCAAAAGAAAGTGCATATCCCTAAGTTCAAGCCCCATTATCAGCGCACACATGCACAAACATATACATATCCACACACACAGTTATTTTATTCATAATTCCTTTTTGAAACATTGAAAGGTTATAAAATAACATATAATGAATATTTTCTTTCCTTGCTTTCCTAAAGAAAAGTAAAAAGAGAACTTATTTGAAAGTATGAAAGAAAGAAGTAAAGAAAGGGGAGGGGAGAGGAAGGAAAAGGAAGAAGAAACTACAAGCCATTTTTTAAATATTAGTCATCTAATTGATAATACTAATAGGGAAATGTTCTCAGCTGAATGTTAATTTTGAGAGCTTTGAATATCATCACAAAAAAGGTAAACAGAAAAATGGTAATAATTTGCTTTGTGCTCTCTTGAGTTACTGGTTTTTCATCAGAAAAATCAGCATTCTTACATTGAATGTTGTCTATCCTATATTTTCATCTTTATGTATTTAACTACATACATTTGTGTATTTTCTCTTCTGTGTGTCAACATTGACTGAAAACAGGAGTAAACAACAAAATAAAGCAAGTAAATTTTATGATTTTGGCCTTAGGGATCTTTGGTTACTTTAAATATTTGGATAGCATTTGTTTTGTTGGTTTCCCTTTGGAAAATTTGATACTTTATTTCCAAAATAGAATTACTTTAGTAGAGTTGGCCAGAAATTGTGCCAATAGAGAAAAATTATCATTTTAGAGTACAGTGAATATTATAATTGGGTTATTCTAGTATATAGCTTCAAGTTAAGATTGATTAGTATACAGGTATAGATTGTACTTGATATCTTACTTAATATTTAATGGTGGCAAGGTATAATCTTACATAGAAGATTAAATTGCTCAGTGGATTTTGTGTTTCTTCTAAACTTGCACATAAGTACAAAACCTAATGCTATTGATATTAAAACTAGTGACACTAATCAGCTTCTGCTCCCTAAAAGCAAAAAAAGGTAACTGACTAGAAAATGTATTGAAGGAATTTTAAGTTACCTTAGATACAAGATAATATAAAGAAGATATGCATATGAGTGGCATAAGAAGCAGAAGGTGCTTCTGGTCTTATACATCCGTCTGGAAAGCTTAGACTTGTTAATACATTTACTCCTTTTATAGTCTATTACTTTTTATAGGTCTATTAGTTAGGGAAACATTACCAATAGGATGTCTGTGTGAATAGAGATGACAAAACTGACAGGGACTTACTGGATATTGAAAAGTCTCAAAATATAGGCAGTAGGCTGGAGAGCCCTAAGGCCTGACAACCAGGTGAGTCAGTAGTGTAAGTTCTAAAAGCCAGCAACCTTAAGATCCAAAAAGAGCCAATATTTCTATTTCAGTTTAGTTCAAAGGCAAGGGCCAACCCTGGTTCATACCTATAATCCTAGCCATTGCTTAGGCTGAAATCTGAGGAACTTGGTTCAGAACCAGCCCAGGCTGGCAAAAATTCCAGCAAAAAGCCAGAATTAGAGGTATGACTATAGTGGTAGAGTGCCAGCCATGAGTAAAAAAGTTGAGCCAAGTGAGAGCATTAAGCCCTGAGTTCAAACTCCACTGCTGCCACAGTACTAGTGAATGAATGAGCAAATAAATAGGAAAGAAAAAGACTTACTTTTAATAAATGCTCAGTAAATGTTTAGCTATTGCTAAATAACCTCAAAACAAATTTACTAGAAAATGTTCTTTTTTTAAAAAAAAAACAACAATAGGGTTAGAGGCATGGCTCTGTTGATAGAGCTGTAGCCAGTGAGTAAAAGTATCAGGTCCTGAGTTCAAGTCTAGTCCCAAACCTAAAAAAAAAATAGTATTGCTAACTGTATTGCTTGGTTAATAGTAGAAAGGAATAGGGAAGCAAATCCATCCAATTTTGTATAGAAGTAACTCTAGTTGTTACTGTTGACAATAAACTCAGATTTCAAGCTATTTTTAAAGCAAAAGCTCCTGCTCTGGGCTAATTCATATTCTCAGAATAGTTTTGGTTCCTAAGAACATTTTTTTTTAATTTATTTATTTATTTTATTTTTGCCAGCCGTGGGGCCTGAACTCTGGGCCTGGGCGCTGTCCCTCAGCTCTTCAGCTCAAGGCTAGCACTCCACCACTTGAACCACAGTGCCACTTCTGGCTTTTTCTGCTTATGTGGTATTGAGGAATTGAACCCAGGGCCTCATGCATGCAAGGCAAGCACTCTACCACTGAGCCACCTTCCCAGCCCCCCTAAGAACATTTTTTAATACAAGTACATGTTTGTGCAAGTAGCACACCACTTTATTGGCATTCCCCCATTGGGCACTAATAGAGAAACTAAAATGTGAATCTGGCACTTGGCTTGAAGCTCTTTTGAGTTTCAATTCTGTATTTATCAGACCCCTGGTTCTTCAAATGCTAATATTCAAAATATACTACTGTTTGATAGACTTAGAATTTGATATATGGTTGAATAAAACAGCATGATGAAATTAAATAAATTGGTATTCAACTAAGCCAGGTACCAATTTCATTAT